GTTACTCCAGCAGCTCAACGTCGAACAGAGGGCCGTGTACGATCGCGTGATGGCCGCAGTGTTGGACCCCCGTCCGAGCGCCAAGTTCTTCTTTGTCGACGGCCCCGGTGGAACTGGTAAAACGATGCTCTACTCCTGTCTCATGTCTGTGTTGCGTGGCCTAAACATGAATGTACTGGCGGTTGCGTTCACCGGGATCGCGGCCGGTCTGTTGGACGGCGGAAGGACTGTGCATTCCACCTTTGGTTTGCCTTTCGGAGTGCTCACGAACGAATCCACTTCCACAATCAAATTGCAGTATCGTATGGCGCACAGGATTTCCGACGCTGCGCTCATCGTCTGGGACGAGGCACCCATGTCCCCAGGGTTCCAGTTGACTGTTGTCGATCGGCTGCTGAAGGACATCATGCGGTCGAATCTTCCTTTTGGTGGTAAGCCTTTTTTGCTAGGTGGTGATTTCAGGCAGATTCTTCCGGTCGTCTCCCACGGAATGAGAAGTGACATCGTCGGCGCTTGCATCAAATCCAACGAGCTGTGGCCCGTCATGCAATAGTTTTCCCTCACGCGGAATATGTGAGCGGACGGCGACAGAGAGTTTGCTGCGTGGCTTCTCCTATTGGGTAATGGTAATGTTAACAGGTACGGCGACGACGAGAACGCGATACAAGTACCCCGCAGATTTCTATGTCAAATTCCATTGGTCGACTTCGTGTTTCCGCAAATTATGAACTTGCACAACGTCAATGACTACGCGAACAAGGTAATTTTGTGTTCCACCAACGAGGGGTGTCGTCAGATGAACGAAGTTATTCTCCGCAATCGTCTCGAGGGTGAAATCAGGCATTACTTCAGCACGGATACCATAGAGTGCGACGACCCCGAGGACGCCGCAGACTTCCCGATAGATTTTATTCATTCACTGCACCCCACGGGACTCCCTCTTCATGACCTGGCTCTTAAAGTGGGCGCTGTCGTCATGCTGCTGAGAAACCTGGACGCCAAGAGAGGACTTTGTAATGGTACGAGAATGGTAATTGTTGAACTTTGACGTTTGAATTTCAGAGCTAGGCTGCTCAACGCTACCGAGCACGATGACGATATCATTATTCCCAGGATTCCGCTGACCACTACCGAAGATGACGGCTTACCTTTCAAGTTGCGCCGATTGCAGTTCCCTGTTCGATTGGCTTTTTCAGTGACTATCAACAAATCTCTAGGACAGACTTTCGACCGCGTTGGAATATACCTGCCTTCTCCTGTGTTCAGCCACGGACAATTGTATGTGGCGTTCTCCAGGGTGAGAAACGCTGAATCTGTTAAGGTATATATACCGACCGACGCCGATGGAGTTACAAAGAATGTGGTATTCCGTGAGGTTCTTTAAATATTTATTTTATATTATGTTTATAAAACTTATATTTTTATGTGTTCCTCTTCTGTAAACTTTTGCTTATAAATATTTATATTCTCTGCTTATGAGAACTTCCTTCCGCACTCTGTCTTTCATAGATTATATTTTATACTTTTATATATTATTCATATATTCTTTAGGCTTAAAAGCACATATATGCTCATGTTATGAGAAACTTCTACGTTCTGTCTTTAATGAATTATTTACATTTTTATACATACCCTTCGTATAATCTTTTGCTTAAAATTACATACATGTTCTGATTAGAATAACTTCCTTCCATACTCTGTCTCACATGGATTATTTATATTTTATATTTATATATATATATATATATATATATATATATATATATATATATATATAGCCCAGTCAAATTAGACCAAAAATCGACAAAGTTCGGAACTAATTCCACGAAAGCAGGATTTTAGTTTTTTTTTTAGTTTATACCTCACTGATGAACATACTAAAAGTCCCGACAACTATCCCCTGTGCGTAACTCTCCACCCCTCATCAAAGGGTGGCGCGCCCCTTTCACTATTTTCGCTTATAACTCGTCAGCTTTTCAATTTACATTAAAAATACCTATGACCAAAATTAAAGACCATAAAATTTACCATAGATTTAATGTACTTTTTGTATATATATATGTTGCGATAAGTGTTATACTTTAAAAAAATATAAAAAATAAAATTTTTTTATCTTTTTTTTTTATTGTGTTTGAGCAAAAACCGTCAATGATACGCTGAAATCACCTATGACAAAAGTTAACGAGCAGATAATTTTACATAATAAAACGTTAAATTATTTTTAAAATTTCAATTACCGTAAGTAATAATGTTTTTTATATCAGTAGTAGCGATATAATTGAACAATTAGTTGACAATTACAAAATACAAGAATCAGAAATTTAATTACAATCTACTAAAAAAAAATTGCCGAAAGCTGAATTTTGGTATGTAAGTAGTTTATACTTTACTTATAAACATACCAAAAGTCCTGACACCTACACCTTATGCATAGCTCTCCACCCCTTTTCAAAGGGTGGCGCGCCCTTTTCACTGTTTTCGCTTATAACTCGTCAGCTTTACAAGTTACAATAAAAATACCTATGACCAAAATTAAAGACCATAAAATTTACAATAAGAATACATTATTTTATTTGACATACATATTTATAAAAGTGGAATTTAAAGAAAAATTGAATTATGAAATAACTATTAATTACAATCATTTTTAAAATAAATGCAAAAATTGAAAATTATACATTTATTTTTATTTTTTCAGACTATAAGTTATGAAATTAAATTTAAAAAATGGTGTAGGTCCTGGAATGGTGTAATGGGGTTGTAGGTCCTGAAAAAAAATTAATTAATATACTTAATATTTTCATATTTATATTATATTATGTATTGAATTATTAAAATCATACTGTACCTTATTAATTAAATTATGTGGGTCGAATTATTTTTATTGTCGGTGTGTTGGTTTCTTCTTTTTGATTTTCAATTAGATTTATTTCGTCAATATAGTCCTCTAAATTTTCCTCTTCTTCATCATCTATGATCGGTTGCTAATTTAAACACGAACCTCCTTGACAATGCTTGTATATAACTGAACATAGCAATCCTGCTTTTCGACAGCTACAATTTTGTTCACATGTTTTTGTGCAGGCACAACTAATCACATTCAAAAGAGTATCCGGTGCTGGTGGCTTTTTCGTGAAAACTGGATTTAGTTTACCATTATATTCTTTCCAGCCCCAATTCTGTGGATCTAATTTATTGCCACGCTACAACTGTATTTGTAAATAAACTCGATGTAAATGTTCTCTTGCCGCATCGATAGTAGGTGGAAGTCTAGCTAGTTGAACTTGTTTTTTGTTAGAGGCTGCGGTTTTTTGAAAAACATCATGTCTTAATTTATTCAAAGACGTAATGTGGGTTGGAGCTTTATATAATGTTAAAAGATATTTTTCTCCGGCACGTTCAATTTCTTCCGGCGATGAAGATTCATTATTAAATATTAAAATAAGTTTTTTGCCATTTGTAAACTTACCACCAAACTCACCCGATTGTATTCATTCGGTTAGTTCTGGATACTCAAAAGTTTTAAACGATCTAAATGGAATATATAAACTTTTTTTCTTTCTCAATAATTTTCATTATTTTTAATCGCTCCGCGTCGTCTACACTTACATGTGGAATCTTTCAAATTATTTTATTAATAGTTACTTTACCTGTTGTAGCAGAATTCGATGTCTTATTGACTATTAGTTGAAGATCGTTATTACCTCTAGTTAAAATTAATTCCAATCGAGCATTAATTAAAATTTTTTTAAAGTCTTCGAAAAAACCTAACCAGTATTTTAACGGAATACATACAGTAAACTCTCCTTTAGTGTTAACTACTTGAGATTCATATTTAACATTCCACCCAGAATTTTCATAACAATGATGGTTAGTAGGAGTACTTGATAAATAACCTTTTAACGAACTTGTAATACCTAGATTACGAGTTCTATCCACTTCTACACCGTTTATTTCCAACCGAACTTGATCAAATAAAAAATACATGCCGTTATTGCAGATTTTAGATTTTTCAGGATCGACAAATTTCCCATCCATAAAAATAAAACTTTCATGTAAATATGGATATACGTCTGTCTGTTGAACTGCAATTCGTATTTCATCATTTTCATTGAATGAATTTGTATACGGAATGTATGAATGGTATTCGATTTTTGTTATTTTCGAATTTGTGGTATAAGGAGTATCAATATCTAAAATATCACTTTCGGGCATACTGCTTGAGTTGATAACCAAGGTTTCTTAAAATATTTTTACTTTTTTCAGTTAATCTACTTTTTTTCTTTTTTACTGTTTTCGTATGTGATTCAGTCTTACAACTAACTGTTTCTGAAGAGTGTGTAGGTTTTATATTTATTTTTTTACTTATACTATTGAATTTCAACGCCATTATCCGTATCGTTTAATATGTAAAACAATTGTTAATTTTTTTTCAAAATTTTGTGTAGGGTTGTTTTCTTGATCAACTAAATTTACACGTATTGAATCAATTGTTGAATTTAATATAGGATAATATATCAAATTACTTGGAATTTGAACAATTTTAGTACCAGATTCTACAGTAGGAAAAAATTCATAAATTGAGTGCGATGGATCATTGTTATTGAATGAGCCTAGTGCTATATTACAGATTACTTTTATAGAATTAACCGAATTTATATTTACAGCTTTTTCAGATCGGATACCGTGTTTGGCATTCTCATATGTAGATTGTGTGAAACCCAATACTGATGCTAAACTGTTTGTAACAGGGAAATATATTAAACTATCACATTTGATATTACATCTAAAATCATGTTTGTCAACCCACATATCCAAATCTATATTTTTCTGTTGCTCTGAATTTGTTTTTATTTTTAGCTGATACTTAATTTCATTTATAACGTCTTCGATTTCATAACATCCAGGTCTAAGATAAAGTTCAAGCTTCTCGTATTTTTGAAAACAAATTGTATTATTAGTTTGGTTTATGTTCGGTATTGAATTGTACGTTTGTAAACATAGTAAAGTTATTTCATAATCTTCATACACGTTTATGGGAAAAAAATAATTCGTAGATAACGATGTTTTGTTACCTGATAGACTCAGAGTAACCGATTCATACATGATAAAATCTACACACAGATATTTTAAATAACCGCAATATAATACTTAGTTTATTTATTAATATATTGCGTTATGCTCTTAATGAATATTCTTAAAAAATCTTGTGTTCTTTACTATGTTACACACAAAGCAGTTTGACTACTAAACGATTTCGATGAATGTATGAATCTTATATTTTATTTATTTCTTATATTGATGAATGTCAACGTTATTTTATAATCCGTTACGTTTAATATGTAATACAATTGTTATTTTTTCATCAAAGTTTTTAATAATTTTATTTTCATGGTCGACTAATGTAATATTTATTGAATTTATAACTTCAGTATTAAGTTTATAATAGACTAAATTAGTTGGCGATTCAACCGTACTAGTTTTTTGAATGTTCTGGGAAAAATTCGTACATCGAATGACCCTGCTCTCCATTTTCAAACGTGCCTTTAGCAATATTACAAGTAACTCTTATAGAATTATCATTATTTATAGCATAATTAATTTCCCCTTCAGATTCATGGTAAAAATCGTTGATCTGAGATTTCTGAAACGAACTATATTGTTTTTTTTTTCAAATCCTAGAGTGGTCGCTACACTATTTTTAATATTTAAATTTATAACACAATCGCAACAAATTCTACATTTCATAGGAGTATCTGCAAGAGTTAAATTAAATATTACTTTGCTATTTCCATTATCGTATTCTTGTTCATATTTTCCAACTGCATTTTTAATACAGTTATTAAGATCCTTAATCTTATAACAACCATGTGGAATTTGTACATCTATAGCCAAGGTTGTACCTTTGATGTAAAGTAAAAATCCTATTTTGTTATTAGTTTCATCTATTATCACACAATATAAACATTAAAGTGCTATTTCAGAATTTTCATACACATTTAGTGGTAGGAAATAAGTTGATTTTAATGGAATATTATCACCTGTCATTCTTACACTAATTGATTCATACGTAGTAAAAATTTGAGACACAGATTTCCACACATAAACGAATCAAAATCTCGATAGTTTGAATAATTATATAATATATTACATTTTTTAAAGCATTTCTGAATCTCAATCGGTGGTGCAAGATCACCAAAACTATCAAAGTAATTAACCTCGTTTTTATTTTTGTAATATGCTGTCCAATGACTTCCGTGTTCAGACAATTTAGCCAAGTTCAAAACACCACATTCGATTTCATTTGGTTTTCTAGGTAAGTCATCACGTGCAAAGACCCCTCGGAAATGAGATATTTTAAACTTTGTAACGTTATTTATAATGTCCTCACCTGATAATGGCCTATTGGTCAGCATTTCAATTAGTTTTTTTTCTTATTCACTTTTCTACTTTTCATTCTTGGTCCTTTTTTATTTAAATATAAACCTCTACCAGTTGGAAGGTTTAAGTATAAGCCATTTCCCTTTTTTCTTGAATTTTTCACTGCATTATACAAATTTGAAGCACCTGACGCCAAACTTCCGAGTGTCGATAATCCAGCAAAAATTGGAATTAACGGTATCGCCCCACCAATTTGATTGGGACATCGAATAACTTTTTTATTTTTATTTTTTTTAAGTTTTTTTATTTTTTTATTTTTTTTTGAACTACAACCCATTCCCATTTTTAGTTTAGCTCTCATTGCCTTCGCTATCGCGTATGCTACTGCTTTTTCTTTAAAAGAACTATCTTTTGCTTTTACTCTTGACCACGCTAAATCTTTCAATGTCTTATCTGCTTTATGTCTACTAACTAAGTCAGTATTGTTTTCATACGCTGTATCATGACTTCGACATCCACTGTCTAATTTATTTATACCTTTTTGACCTGCTGCAAGTCTAGCTTTTAATTTTGTGCCCGGTCCACAAAATTGATATCCAGGTATATGAGCTTCAAACGGAAGACTATTTATAGCAGAATTTAATAACCCTTTACCAGTTATTTTTTTTTTTTAATCTTGTATGTTGAACTCATTATGTATTACTGAT